ACGGCCGTGAAACGAGTCGGTCGTCTTATGGGGTACATGAAAGAGGTTGGCCCGGCAAAGAATGCGATTTAAAAGCAAATGTCAGTGCTCAATGCTTTTAGGTTCAGGTAAGTGAAAAGGCGCAAGAAAATAGAACAAACTGGGATCAGGTTTTCATGGCACATGGCACATACCGTATTTTCCTAGAATACTGCCCCGGGGTATCTGCAGCTTTTACCCATTGTTTCATTGCTGGCATTGTTCCATTCATTGCTCCTCGTAACCACTTATGCCTTCTTCAGTGCCGCGAATACAGCACCAGGAATGTTTGAGCGGCCCCTGCATGGCCCAGACATGCGGACATGGGACTGAACAAGTGGCCGACAGCTCAGGGGGAACGGAACGCTACTGCGCGAGCCCTGATTTGTCGTGGATCTTTGGAGCGCTGCGCACCTGCGCTTAAGCTGCTGAACGCAGCCAGACGCCAGTAACTGACAGCTGTAGCTTAGGCTCGGGGTAAGACACACTGGCATTCTATCAACGCACGTTGGAGAGGCTCTGTGGTGCATCTGCCATGTCCTTAAATGCATGTTTTGCAATTGTTAAGAAATCCTCGTGCTGTGTTGGTTTTGAAATTGGCTGCACAAACGCACGCTTGTTTCATGTAAGAACTCTCGCTCTCCATGCCCCGTGGCCGCACCGTCATGCCTTTGGCCCGACCACATCTCTCTCTCTAAAGACATCAGTTTGCCTCCGCCGAGACGTTGGGCGGAGGCAAACTGATGTCTTTTTTTCCAAACCGTGCCAAATCTCTCCCAACGCATATTACGATATATGATTTATATTCATTAAAAGGGATGGACATATTTCAGATGTCGTGTGCTATTGTTGGTTATATCTAAACGCTCCATCTCCGTTCAGCAGCTTTATGGTGAGACGGTCCCCGCTCGGGTCTCGTGTCGTCTTTATTTGGTGGAAAGGGCAGGCTTCAGCGACAATAAGCTCGTCACAACGAAAAATTTCAGCCTGTTTCGCAAACGCCGTTCCCAGCGCTGAGACATCCAACAGCAAACTTCGTGTCAGAGCGGAGATTGGTGGAAGCCGGGAGTCTATGCCGTCGGGTGATTTACTCGCCCGGCGGCGTTTCGCAGCAGCGCGGCACGGAAGCGCCGCCGTCGTCTCATCCGACAGCCCCAGGTGCAGACGACAGACAACAAAACTCCGTCGGCCGCCCGCGCTACGCAGATTAAATTCGCGCGAACTGAGCGCGCCGCGCCCTGGAGACAACCTGGGATCATGTGGGGGGCAAGTGAACTGGGCGGGAGCGGACTGGGACGCTAGAGCGGGATGGGACGCTCGGGCCCTGTGGGAGGCAGGTGAGCTGGGCACGGAGTCACGTGGGAGGCAGGTGAGCTGGGCACGGAGTCACGTGGGAGGCAGGTGAGCTGGGCACGGAGTGGACTGGGACGCCCGGGCCACGTGGGAGGCAGGTAAGCTGGACGCGGAGTGGACTGGGACGCCCGGGCCACGTGGGAGGCAGGTGAGCTGGGCACGTAGCCACGTGGGAGGCAGGTGAGCTGGGCACGGAGTGGACTGGGACGCCCGGGTCACGTGGGAGGCAGGTGAGCTGGGCACGTAGCGGTATGGGACGCCCGGGCAGCGCCGGAATGACGCCGGCTCCGAGGCAGAAGTACACCCACCGGGCCGATTTCGACACCCGGAGCCGTGTCTTCATTGGCCAGGAACGGTGGCAGATGCAGCAAGGAGAGGCCCATCTGGCCGCGGTTAGCAGCTATTTTTCACCATTCCATTAAGCCTTGCATATTTGCGCAAATGTCACCACGCGACGAAGAAAAAAAAGGCGGACGCGGGGAGTGAAGCAAGGCAAGTTTTTTCTCAAGAAGTCGACAATAGGTATCTCGTCAGCAATGGGAGCAGAATTATGCCCCGCCACTGTGCCGTGCCCGGTTTTTTCTACGCTACGTTATCGTTACGTTAGCGTTATGTGATCCGACCTCTTCTTGATTAGTCATAGCGCGGTGGCTCATGAAAAGCTTTATTCAGAGGAGGCGTACCGGCCTGTCGAAACATTGTCAGCACCATATTGCGCTGTGAAGCCCTGATGAGACGCGTGCGACACTTAATATGGTCGTGGCAGACTTTTTGGACGACCCTCGGATATTTCCTTAGGCATACGCCGCTGTCGTACCTAGCTGAGCGTTCTCGGCACCGCAAGACATCAGCCCTGAGCACGGCAAGTCCCACGGACGTCATGCTCAAGCGGAATCAGAACCTGCAGCCACCGCAGCCGAGGACATGTAGTCAGTACAAGCCCGTGTGATCCCTATGACGCCTTAGGATTGCACCTGGAAGTGGCACTTACACGACAGACCACAACGTTGACCGCTGGAATTTGCGGGTCCCCACGCCTCTTCGTCGCGTGAACAACACTTTTTCAAGCTGTTTCCCTCGTTGTGCTCTATCTTTCTGTTACCTCCACCGCTCTAATGAGCTTTCTTGTTGGTATTTATGTGCGATGATGCGACACTTATCGGTACCGTCGACACTGCCTACGAGCGCCACGACGCATGCTGCATCGAAATGGCATCGCGGGCATCGGTCCAGAATCCCAAAACGACGACCCAAGTGACGAAGAGAAAATAGAAGGATCTCCTACGACTTAATTTGGATTCTCCTGGGTGCGTCATCTTGCATGACTCGTTGGTCGTGGCTTTCTAGCCAAATATCCGACAAAATACTTATTTCGTTGATTACCAACACGCAATCGGATGCCTTTCACCACCAGTTCAGCGCACCCGCGGCCATACCAACTGATGAATGCTGCAATGTGTTAATAATGAAACGCATTTCCAACTTTCTAAGACAGCATGCTCCATGAGGTTACGCCCCAGCACCATCTATATGACGATATAACTCATGCGTCACATCACTCGTGCCACGCTGAAGATGAGCCACTTGTTACGAGCCCAAAATCCCCTCGCGCGCATGAATCCTCAAACAACAGTTTTAGTCAGCGCATCCGTCTGTCACAGCCAGGACATTTGTTCAGCTAACCCAAGAACGTCGGGATCAGATGGAATCTGCCGCGGCAGACAAAATGCCCAATTTGAGCTGAGGAAGGCCGCCCCATCGTTAACATTCCAAAGCCCGTGGCCCCACTTGCGCCATCTGTGAGCTGTCTTAGAAAGTTCTAGCTTGCCAATCTGCTACTACGTGGCCGGTCGCCACCAAAGCGCCATGGCATCGACCGCGCCAGCTCGCGCAGGACGGTTTGGCAGCGACAGTTTAGAAGGGCATCTTTACAGTACGAGAGCTTGCGTGCTCTATATTTCCGCACAACAACTACGTCACACGATCAACCGTCTGTCAATGTTTCGCGATTCTGTGGATGACGAGCCTCCAAAGCACTTTGTAAGCCGCGTGATCCACGGCACTTCGCTTGACCCCGCACTGATCACACCCCCACTCTCTCCCGTGGCAGAGCCTCAGATTCGTCACCAACATCCACTGCTATCGGTATCACAACCCCGCCGCCCTACCGCGCCTAGCGCCCCACTACACGCCGCGACCGCAGGCCGCCGCTAGCCGTCGCCAGCGCGGCGGCGGGCCGCCTCGGGCTGCTCCCGGCGGCTCATCAGCCGGGCCATGTCTTCCTCGGCGTCCCGGCAGCGGCTCCGGCGCATGGTGGGCAGTACCACACCCACGGTACCGATCACGGCCAGGCCCACGGCGGCTGCCTTCAGCACGCCAGACAGCAGCGTCATCTGCGAGAGGAGCAAACAGTCGTCAGCGCGCGCGCTGCGGCTCTGCGAGAATATTTCAGATGGCCTGTGTGCAGCAGATCAGTCCTGCTTTCTCCCGTTGATATTAGTTCGGAAAAACGTTGAAGAAAGCCGCCGTTTGTAGTGAACTGCATCTCATCCTGACTCGGCTAAAATGCATCCCCCACCCATTGGGACAGTCATTGGATCGGCGATCCCGTCACGCCCGGTAGTTCATTACTGACACTGCAAGCAGTTCACAAACGCAACGTCCTCAACGTGAACTAAAGGCAGCATCGCGCTGTCTTCCTCAAGACCGTCCGGCTGGGCCGGCTGCGAGCCCGCCTCACCGTGTGGGCGGCGGCGGCGGCGGCGGCGGCTGCTGCTGCGGGGGCGGTGCCTCGGGTTCCCGGCGCTGCACGAAGCCCGGCCGCCAGATGTAGAAGCCGCCGAGCGTGCCGAGCACAGTCACCAGCGCCACTTGGAACGCTGTGAGGCCGGCCGGGCGTCTGATGAGCACTGCAACGCCAGGCGGCTGCTGCCGGTCACGGGCCCGACCGATGGCGTCACTTACACGGCAGCGAGCTGGCCGACGCGCCACAGCGGCGTCACAGCGGCTCTGGGCGACCCGGTCACGGACACGAGACCGCCGCTGCTCTGGCCGCGCGGCGGTGTCTGCTGCACTGCTCGCAGGGAGGTGACCACTGTCCTGGTCACGGGGGCCACACCACACGTCCGGTCACACACGGGCGAAGAAGACCGCTCCGCGTGGTATCCACGACGCCAGAGGAGGCAGGGAGAGCCTGGGAGATCTGGCCGCCAGCCCCAGTCCGTCAGAACCAGGAGCCAGGCGGGGCACAAGCCAGGGCCGGGCGCGAGGCGGGAATGGTCCAGGCAGTATTGTGCTGAGTTAACGGCGTCTAGCCCACGAGGCCCCGGTGCGGGCGCGTTAGCGTAGCTACCTAAGAAAAAACCACGCGATGCGACTAAGCGTGGGTCCAGAGATAGCGATCGCGACTGGAAGCTTCCACGTGAGATACGTCCGAGCGTAAAAACGCGCAATCACAGCGAGGAGCGTCCCAGGAACTCCGTGCCCTTCGACATCGCTGCGGGCGAATCAAGGCCGCGGCGCCGCTGGGAGATTAAAGCGCCATACGTAACACGTCATGCGGCTACAAAGGCCACGATCAGACGGCCCCTACCGGCCCCTGCCGCTAGCGTCACGCTATCACAGCTCGTCTACAGTATTTCCAGGTCAATGTGCCTGATTTGCGGGAATGCCTTCCTCAGGTCGGACTCAATCCTGTCTATCTCGGCGCCCATCATGTCGACAATGGCCTCGCCGTGGCGCAGCAGGAACTTCTCCACCGCCTCGTCGCCCGTCAGCTGCTTGGCCTCCGCTGTCAACACGTCCGAGTCCTGTCGCTCCAGGTACTTCTTTGTCAGCTCCCGGCCGTCAAAGTCCACCTCGGCCTTGTAGCGCACCAGCCCGTTGCCCATGTCGATGCCCTTGACGTCGTGGATGCCCCTGATCATGATGTCCTCCTCGAGGCGCAGGTTGATGCGCTCTAGCTCCTCCTGGCGGATCGACTGGCCCACCAGCGCGTGCGAATTTGTCACGATAATGAACGTGGCGACGGTGCCGAGCAGGCCGCCAATCAGCATCGATCCGCACGCGTCGAACATCATGTTGCCGGTGACAGCACTCAGCGCCATGCTGGAGCCGGCCACGAACACGCCCACCACGGCCGCCAGGTCCTCCAGCAGCACCACGTTGACGGAGGGGTCGCGGCCCTGGCGCACGTACTGCCAGAACGAGCAACCCTGGCGGCGCGAGTTGCGCAAAATGTTGCGCGTCGCCAGCGTCAGCGTCACGCTTTCGGACACGAGCGCCGCCGCCAGCACGCAGTACCCGACCAGGAAGTCGCCCATCGGCGCCGGGTCGTACAGCGCGTGAAAGCCGTGGAAGAAGGCCACGCCGCTGCCCAGGCAGAAGATGCCGACGCCCGAGATGAGCGAGGCCACGTGGCGCACGTTGCTGTAGCCGTACGGATGGTCGAGGTTGGCGCGCTGCGCCGACTTGTGGATGCCCACGGCCAGGATGACCTGGTTGGCAGTGTCGGCGATCGAGTGCAGCGTCTCCGAGAACAGGCTGCTCGAGCCAGTCACCGCGAACGCCGCGCCCTTGCCCAGCGCGTTGATGGCGTTGATGCCGACGGCGGTGAGCACGACGTTCGACGAGCCCTTCAGGTTCTCCTCCTCGATCACCGTGTAGTAGGGCTTGTTGCGCTGGCCGCGCCGGTAGTCCTTGAGCACCTTCTTGACCGAGAAGAGCGTCTGCTGGTGCGTGCGCCAGGCGAGTTCGCGGCGTTGCTTCTCCTCGCTCAGCCGGTCCAGACTGCCCCACTTGCGGATGGCCTGCTGTTCTACCTCGGCGCGCCAGTACACGCGGATCGGCGGCTCGTTCTCGAACGGCGAGCGTCGCTTGGTGCTGCCCAGCGGCTCCAGGTCGCCCACCTTCAGCAGGTACTCCTCCATCGCGCGCACGGCCGTGATGAAGTTGCGGTCGGTGGCGCGCCGCTCCTTGGCAGTGGAGGCCGGCACCGAGCGCAGCTGGGTGCGCGCCTGCTCGGCGGCGTCGCTCGACCGTCCCTCCTTCCGCGCGGGCAGCGCCAGCGCCGGCGCCTCGTCCCGGCCCGGCTGGTTGGCGGCCGACGGCGGCGGCGGCGTCTGACGGGAGCCGTCGTCGCTGAAGGAGGCGCGCAGGCAGACGGCCAGCGACGCCGGCCGGCGGCGCAGCAGCGGCACGCAGCCGCGCGCGCACAGAAAGCGCGAGGCGGCCGCCGCCAGGGGCATCTGGCGACAGAGGACAGACGGCGTCAGCCGCCGCCAGCGCCGCCGGCCGCGCCGCCCGGGCCCGCCACATTTGACGCCCCGCGCACGCAGGCAGAATATCGAGCCGACGAAGGTGTGTGACCAGGTGAGGCATGCTCGCTGGACGCGGAGTGATTTTACCTTGCGAGTGGCCCATTCTACGACAGACCATTCGACAGGTCGTCATAATTTATATTTCAGATGCTGGTGAACGTGCCGCAACTTGAAATGTTCAAAAACTTAAACCGCGTTCAACTGTACAGAATTGAAAGAGGTCGGAGCCGCGGCCAAGTTCATGGCTTCGGGAATTTTTGCAAGGTCACCAAGCAAGGCTGAGGCCTGTAACTTAATGAAGAACAAGCAAAACAAACGGCACGAAAACTATGCATCACGAAACCCATACTGACACACTACTCCCTTTCGTCAGTTCAAGGTTTTCCCTCACGAGCATTTTCTAGACGTGGCCATGAGACTTTGTCATATGAAAATGGCTGGATGGCTTTTCTTCTAACACGCCTAATTTTCATCTTAAGTTCGGCATTTGCGCGATGAATTTCGCCGTGACTTGACGACAGGATGAAAATAAAATATTATGGAAGTATCATGTTTGTCTTGCATTGGGTCCTGCAACATGTGCAAGCCTACAGATAATCCCAGAACCATGGAAAAGTTGCGTGGAACAATGTCTGGAACGACCACATGCCCATATGAAAGTTAATCAAGCCAGAAACGGGCGCGTTTCTGGAGTTGCAGTCTCTGCAGGCTCTTGCTGTTGTTGTTCATTGGTATTTTCGGGCGCGTCGACGGCAATGTTCGTTTTGCGCCCAGTCTCTGCAGGCTCCCCATTTGTGTTACATAAGCAGTCTTCCATTGCACCATATGTCTGACGAACCAGCAAAACCTCTGGCCATTGGGGCTTTACGACGCCCTCAGCTGCTGACACCATATGACGTCGCCTGCCTGTCACCTTGGCAGGAACGGAGGACACCGCGGGGAATCGAACCCCGCGCATCTGGTTTCCAAGGCGCGTAATGGTTAACGCAGACGCGTCAACCACTTCACTACCGGCACCCCACCATGAAAACCTCAAAGGTCGTAGTGTAAAGAGTTCATATCATCCAAAATCACGTCATCCAGCGTTCAGAACATCAAGGATGCCTCCAATTCCGTGCCCATGGACGAAGTTCATGACATACAAGCCCGCACCCTCTAGTCATGGAATCCAATGTTCATGGCCTGCAGCAGACATAGTAGCTGAGATTCCTGCCACTACATGTCACTGCAATACAATCTATTTCCGACTCCGGTGGCTAGATGGCACAATGCCATATTTTCGTCGTCTACCAACAGATGCCTTGGTCAATCTGTCATCCAGCCCTTGATCACTTGATAGGTACAGTAAATGACAGCTGCAGTGACGAATCACCTAGGTGCCTGGGCTGGCGGTCCTTCATTCGGTCTCAGCATGGCTTCCGCATCATGAAAGCGTGTGCCCAACTGGCATCAACTTATTCATATTGTAGCATCACGCCTAGGACACACCACGTGAGGATAATGCCTCGATAAACTCTACCGCTGTCGCTTAGACAGCGGAACCGAAACTGGAGCGACTCGCCGGCGGAACCACTGGTTCAAAAACAACCCCGCACCAATCGTTGGTCTGGATACAATCATTCCACTCTGTGAACCAATGTTGTGTATTTGTACATGTATGTGGTCTGTAATTGAACAATCAGAGGTACACCTATGCAATCCGACTTTAAACCATGCAATATGGTTACTATCGATGCGTTCAAGTGACGATCAATCCTTACAGAAACTTTGAATCCGCACGTGATTTACGTATCCGTTCTCTCGCTTTTGTGGGATCTGAGATGTGGCTGACCGTTCTGATCGTACCAACTCGGCAGTTGACACTGCAAGTTTTCCCGCAGGCGGGAGAGGCAATGTGAATGCTACGGCGTACCGGCTGCGGCGAAGGCTGTGGTCTTGGAACCGACTGAAACACGCACAGCTCTTACGAACTGAAAAGGACAATCGTAAGGTAAAGAAATGATAGGCCATGTAATAATCGTCGCCAGGGACGCTTAGGCGGGTCAGGGCGCCCGTAACGTACCGTCAGGTCATACCATCCATCAACTCGCAAGAACACTTACAATAACACTCCACTGTTATTGCCACAGCTGCAAAGCAAGGGCGTTTTGTTACGTTTATCCGACTCACGACGTGGTGTATTTAAAAGCCGAATCGCCATAACAAATGTCCCTCATCCGGCCCTCCGCGCGCCTCATTCTACATCGTATTGCATTACTGAAACACAGACATCACACATCATAAACATTAAATTGCCCCACAGCTGTGTCGACATAAGCTCTTAGAACTATTTCAGCCTATTTCACTAAGCAGTGGTCCCTGAAGAAGGTCCCATGATCACGGAACCAACGGGCGGATTTCTCACACATTAGTGTTTTTCAGTCATCAATTCCATCAATAACATGATTCGTGAAACATCGCCAACTCAATAACGAACATAGGGTAGCCAAACACCGCGGAGAATTTTTGTACAGCCCGCAAAAAAACAGCAGGTAACCCGAACAAAGCCTTCCACAACTACTGCATAGCTACTGCCAAGTGCTACCAACGCACTTATGCCTGCTACCAGATGTGCTGACATGGTGAAGTTTGCCAGCATAATAAAGTGTTACCCATGTCCATGCATAGTGATTTAATTGGGCAGCACATATCACAGGACATCACTTGTTGGCATGGCAGGGTAAATTTGGCAATGATATCCCATTCCCCAAAGCATCTTAACTGATGCTTTGGTGCTTATTTGCTCACAATGTGACCTCGCCCCCCTCGCCCTCGCCCTCGCCCTCGCCCTCGCCCTCGCCCTCGCCCTCGCCCTCGCCTCGCCCCTCGCCCTCGCCCTCGCCCTCGCCCTCGCCCTCGCCCTCGCCCTCGCCCCCGCCCTCGCCCTCGCCCTCGCCCTCGCCCTCGCCCTCGCCCTCGCCCTCGCCCTCGCCCCGCCCTCGCCCTCGCCCTCGCCATCGCCCTCGCCCTCGCCCTCGCCCTCGCCCTCGCCCTCGCCCTCGCCCTCGCCCTCGCCCTCGCCCTCGCCCTCGCCCTCGCCCTCGCCCTCGCCCTCGCCCTCGCCCCGCCTCGCCCTCGCCCTCGCCCTCGCCCTCGCCTCGCTCCCCTCCCTCTCCTCCCCTCTCTCTCTCTCTCTCTCCTCATCTCTCTCTCCCTCTCTCTCTCTCTCCTCTCCTCTCTCTCCTCTCTCCTCCTCCCTCTCTCTCTCTCCTCTCCTCTCTCTCTCTCTCTCTCTCTCTCCTCCTCTCTCTCTCCTCTCCCTCTCCCTCTCCTCTCTCTCTCTCTCTCTCTCTCTCTTTGCCTATAGCACCCACAAGTCTGACCAGCCATGCCCTGGCTTCCCAAAGAATGAATGGTCATGAGCAGACAGGCAGGAGCAGGCTGCCAAGGTATGCGATTGATCTCACCATCCACGTCTTCATCCACAGCTAGACCATCTTTTCATCACTCACTTTTCCAGATATGTGTGGGAATAAATCCAAGGTCAATCTCCCTGTCTACCCCAGGGAAATCTTTACACTCAAAACCTTTGGCATATAAATTATGCATGTTTGGCTTTCACAAAATCAACATCTGGACTCTTGCTCCAGATAGTATGAAATACTACTTGATCAAAATACCAGGACGTGGTTAACATGGCTGGTGGAAAAGGTTGCTATATCTAATTAACTACAATTGAATAACTGACTTATGGATCAACCCTACCTCAGTTTACAGGATGCAACAGTCCCAACTGTCATGGTACTTCTTGCTAGTTGCTAATTTGAAGGCACTGTTTGGGCCATAGAATAGGTAAAAATATTATTCATTATAAAATAAAGGTTTACTTGATATACTTCATTTGCATGCAAAGTTAACTCAGCACAAATGCTAAAATAATCAATATAAACAAACAAGACAATACATGCCTGCATCAGTTGCATGTAAAAAGATCACAACTTCACCTGAAACAGTGCTGCAAGGCAAATATGAAAACACAGCAACATTTATCCTGCTGAATGAGATCTTTGAGCAAAGCAGCTTTGGCATACAAGTCTGGAAAACACTATCAGTAGTGCTGATTGTGCTACACAAAAATGAACCCTGCTAACTCTGCTATTGCTCACCTATTGGGAGGCTTGAGTTTTTCAATGAGGCTAAATTTTGACATGTATTACCAACAGTTACACATGATCATTACTGCTAGTGCACCTTCTTAATACTTGCACAACTATAATGTCAATGTCTGGACTGTGACTGAACCAACACAAAATTAAGCACTCTCAAGTACTTACAAAAGTTTATTTTCAAATTAACTTGTGTTGGAGTGAACATTTTTGCACTTGACCAAGCAACACTGACGAGTGCAATGCCTCTTGGAATAGAACAGAACCAACCAACAGTGAGAGATTTGACACTGGCCGAGCAATATTTGGTAGTTAACCATCAACACACAGGCAACGACGGCCTCTTAGCCAAGACGACAAACCCACCTGACAGGTGGACTGGCAACGGACATTGAACAGATGGCGATACGACTGGTCACAATAAAAATTAACCCCAAAAACTGTACTCACTGTGTTTGGTAGTAT